AGATAATGGAATTAGAAAAGTAGTGTGTACAAAGCTGTTGAAAACCGTCACAGTCTTGACCTCTTCTTTCGGGTATCACGTGTGATCTGATACCTTCTCTTATTGACGTGCTCTATTTTCTCGCAGTTGCTAAGCATTTAGTCCCGGACCACGGCATTTCCGAATTCTACTAGGACGGGCCTGGCTTTTTTCTGCTGAAGGCTGCCTACAGGTTCGATCCAGCGGCCGATCCTCTGCACCAATTTAATAAGTGCATGTTGTGTAACTCCAGCAGTCTCAAGAGGTCCCGAACTTTTCTTTGTTCTATGTCTGTCTGGTCTTTCGCATTCCGGATGATCGGCTTCCCATTGTTATATATGAGAATGTTCCTGTTTCTGCCCAAGTCAGTGTCCTTCTCTTACTTGAAAAGCAGCAGTTTCCTCTTCAGCCTGGTAATTTTCTCTTCTGGCCCTTTTACGATTTTCCTCAGATCTAGCTGCGAATCCAGTGAGTTATGGGTTTTCACTCCAGTATTACCTACATTTAAAGTAGATGGTCGACCGGCTCCCTCTGACAATGATTAGCATATGTAGCAGTCACTGCAAGATGTCGTTTCCCAAGTGAGCTTCCTAGGCGTTACGGTCTGTGCGGGCACATCCTGGACGTACCAGTATCCGCAGCAGTCACACTGAGTACCGTTAGACACGAGTTTCTGGCACCTGTTTTGGAGATTGTGAAAGCTTACAGTGGGCAAATTCTTTCTCCATGTAAATTGTCATACACAATGAAATCACTGATTTCAAAAATAGCACTCGAGGAGTTACCAAACATCTTCGCTAAGTGAGTTTACAGGCTTTTACACGACTAACAGCGATTTCAGTGACTCCAACTAGCAGTAGTTCGTAATTTCGAGACTAGGATTTAAAACTTCAAAAATGTGAACTGAGTGCTCAAGGTTACTTCAGCCAGTCAGATTCGAGTGACCAGCGTTCTCTCAGATAGGTTTGGAACACCCAGTGGGGTACCCAAGGGCTGTACCTTAGACCTCATACTGTTCACAATATTTGTAAACGATCTCTCTGTAGACATACAATCAAATCTACTGATATATGCAGATGAAGTTGCGATCTGCCGGGAGATTCAAATCCCGTTAGATAAGAGCACCATACAAGAGAACCTAGACAGGCTTTTTACCTAATCGGTCGCAAATGGGTTGCCGTTCAACTCTGACAAATGCAAGATTATGCATATTGCAGGGCATGATACAAACGACTAATTGTTGGGTATTAGAATATTGCAGAGGGTCAGGCACGAAAGGGACCTGGGCTCAATCATTACCGATGATCTGTCCCAGCAAACTAACTGCAACACACTGGCCCGGAGGGCAATGTTCAAACTGAAAAAATTCAGCCGACTTCTGGGGAAATTCATACCACAGTCTTTCCCCAAGATTTTTGCTACGCTCATTAGGCCATTTCTAGAGATCAACATTCAGGCGTGCCCACCGCTGCTTAGGAGGGATATCAACGCCATTGAGCTGCATAGAGGAAAGCCACCAAACGAGTACAGGGCCCGTCACGCACACCCTACCCGGACAGACTCCGTTCGCTCAACTTGTACAACATGGAGTATAAGGAATAAAGGACGACCTGATCCTCCTGAGGGGCAAACTCAGCGTTCAGAGACACCCTAACAAGCATCCCTTCACGATGGTCCCTCCGTCAGAACAGGAGAGGCAGCATCCCAGACTGAGAGCCGGGTAACACTGTTTCTCGGTACGTGTATGTCACCCTTGGAACTCACTGCCAATGACAGTAGTCCAGGCTAAAAATAAACAATCGTTCAAAAAGCTACTTGACCAATACAGCCGAACGGTACCCTGGCGCTCTGTTCGACATACTATTGCCGGTCATCGGGGCGACCCCAACCTGGGGCATCTGAGCACGTGCCTTTGATTTTCGTAATTTGTGTAAGTTTGCAGACGATGAGATGTGGATGTATGAATTATATCTTTACTCTGTCCGCACTGATGCCAGAGCTGCATTCTGTGAACAAGTCCGGAGACTGGACGGCTGGTTACTCGGTATGTATCACGAAGTTCTACTCACCCAGGTGATAGAACACCCATCAATCACTCGACATAACCCTTATCCAAACGAGATAGAGGGAATTCTATCCCAAATGGCCCGGAAAAAAACCTGGAACGATAAAAAATGAAAACCCACCGGATAGACATTAATGCGAGGAACACTCGAAAGCGATTGACTAGTGATAGTATAAACTCGGGTGGGTTTTAAACACCCCATAGTGTTGAACGCCGTAATAATAAGAAATCAAAAAGGGTACCCACCAGATCCCAATCGCAGGAGCGGTCAATATAGCGAGTAATCCGATCAACCGATTAGTGGAAGAAAAATAAAGAAAAGAAGGAATAGAAAGAAAACAGCAAAAAGTGTGGAAGCAAGCAAAAAGGGGAATGAAACGTACAGGTGGTTCGGTGGGAGAATCTTTCGGTTAATCACTCGCAGTCGAAGACCGGAGTAGAGTAAGGGCACAGGAATACTGATTCCCTAACTGCAAACAGCACTCATGCATCCGGACACACTCAAACAGTGCATTCATCTACACACCAAAATCCAAAACGGAGCGGCCGAGTTATGTATACTTGGGGTAATCTGTCTATCCAGTGTCGATTAAGCTGCGAATGCGGTTCTGTTTAGGTAAGAGTGGAGATCCACTCCCTCCCCTCCATCTATCTANCATTGTTTTTCTTTTCACTTGTGCCCCGACTGCTGGAAGAATGATTGCATTTTTTGCTTGTGCTTCATGGCTATCTAGAACGGTTGCGTAACGGTGGCGCCAGTAGAACACTGCGAGGTGTGTGGTGGCAAGTTCTTTTGTGAACCATGTTTATGTGGTGTTGACCATTGCTTACGTACGAGCGCAGGAAAACGCAGTTGAACAGTAGCACTCCTATTTGTCTCTCATTTCCGACACATTCGGATACTGAGTAACAGACAACTACTCCGAGGACCTCCGTCCTTTACTGAGCAATAACCCCTCCCAGCAGAACCCGGGCTACTCGAAAACTTCGGTTCCCAAGTCCGTCAATTTCCGTGAATCCTCGCGAAATTAAAACTGCGCTTACTGTCGAAAAAAAACAGAGTTAACGATTGACGAGCAGTGTTGGAAGCCGAGGTAACTA